TCGCGAGATGAACGCGGCAGACGTCACAGCGGATGTTACCACAGCGGATGTTACGTTGCTCTATAAATAAACCAGAAACAAAACAACAAGGGCGCTGCACATGTCCACGCATGTTTGTTTTGCCAGCCACGGCAGCGCGAGACACCGAAAATGGATACTTTAAGAGTTTATGAATGGAAAGTTTACTTTTAAAAAGTTGCCAGATTGTTCCACTGACAAGACCAAAGTTACCTGTATGTTTTGCAGTCGTAAACTGAGCTATCATCATAGCACGTCGAGTCTGAAATACCACTTGAATGGCCAAGCACACAGCTGATGTGAGTACTCCGCCCCCTCGTCTCAGACAGACAGGCATTTTCGACGCTTGTGTGAGAGCCCAAGAGCCGCATTGAACCAGCCAAAGAGCCGCATGCGGCTCGCGATCCGCGGGTTGGCCACCCCTGATGTACACCATTAAATTTGGCCTTATAAATATATTTACTCATACTCATGTACATATACCTGTACATCCATTGGGGTGGGTACCTACTTCGCGGATTTTCCTCTTTCGTGGGGGGTTCTGGTCCCCATTAACCGCAATTTTTTTGTTTTCCAACGTCTGCACTTTTTTACTTTTACTGAAGTACAGGGGTTGAATCAGTACCGCTACCTTTACCAGAGTCTTACCCAACCCCACACATATATTTGTACTTCTATTTCAGTACAGTGTGTGAGTATTTTTACCACCTCAGTGAATACCTCATGTCTGTAGGAGACAGAGAGACAGATTGCATAAGATCATGCGTATACTGTATAGGTTTTGGTTGTCGACGGTGGCCCAGGATGCACGCTGTATTTTTAGAAACTGAATTCAGGCCGACTTAAAACGCGCATTGCCTCATTACTTCTAAAAGTCCAACTCAGGATTGTGCAACAGGGCAATACATTCTGTGCTGTCAGCTGCCATGCTGGTCTGCCAGATTATCTGTATTTATTTGTCCACTTCCACAAGGGATGAGGAATTATGGCGCTGAAAGCCCAGCGGGTTTGATCGGGTGTCAGAAGCTGCCAAAGCATTGAAATAGGAGCGCAGGCCCGTGCACTGCCGCTGGCTCACTCCTGTACCTTCTGCCCAATAAAAGGCTCATCCTGATTGCGTAACCCCTTGTGCTAGTGGCCGGTCACCGAAGGGAATACCAGCTCAGTGCAGATCAAAGGTCGTCTTACTCTTATCATTGGAAGTTTTTAATGCGGAATATAGCGCCCATAGCTTAGACTGAGAGGAAGAAGAGCAATTGGACGGACCTGAAATTGCGTGTGTGTGCACGAGTGTTTACACTGGCTCCGTGATGCATTAGTCTCCTGCTAGATGACGTAACAGACTTGGATGGATTGTCCCATCGGCTTCAAGGCTGAGTGGATGCATTAGCTTGCAATAATTTAAAATGATAGCAGCTACTGAACGCTTTCAGTCTGCAGCAACTTTATTTTCCCTGTCACAAATTAATTCAATGCAGCCTGTACATACAGACTGTTCAGTGTAAACTGTCTGTTCCATAGACAGCATAGGGAAGTCATTAGAAATTCTAATGACACTCAGACCTCTGGCGAGGCTCAGCAATGTATCTCGGCAGAATGAATTCTGAATGACTTTGTCTGGCAATTTACAGAAAAACGTCTTCAAACGAATTGGGAGGAACTTCATCATGCAACAAGATAATGACGTAAATACACGGACAACACAACTAAGGATTTCAATGGGCGTGGAAGGTCTTGAAAGAACCAAGTCAATCACCTGTCCTTAACCCGATAGAGGCTGAATTCTACCCCCTGAAAAGGAGACTGAAAGGATACTGAAGGAAAGTCCTGGAATACGTATTTCCAGTAAAAAAAAAAAATGCAACGGTCTGCTGAAGTCCGAAATGAGGACACCCCATTACGTAAGAATGTTTAAAATGAAAAAAAAATGGATATACAGTACGTGTTTGAAACGAGACCGCAACGAAATCCAGACAACAGGTGAAGCCTGACAGTTGTTACCTGAGCCCTTCGGCACTGTCATGTCATTTTGAGTCGACAACAAGTTGTTTTTTTTTTCCTTAACTGAAATGATGGCAATAATAAATTAATGGGCGTTATTTGCAACGGTCAGAGTTTACCACTGCCTTTGTTTTCTGCACATGGTAAGAGTGACGCACTGCAACAAACTCAAAGGAACGGAATGCCCTCAGGAGCGTTGCATCCGGGAGTAAGGGGATGTTTTCACTAAATGAAGTTCCTCTGCCAAAGACGCATTTGAAACAATCGTTCTGTTGTGTTGGCAGTCCATGACGGTAGCAAAACCTTCTATAAATTTGTAATTGCATTTTAATGTGTGAACTCAGTTTACATGACTTTACCTGAAATATTCATGTCAAAGGAGTGTGCCTTGGTGTTTTTTTTTTTTTTTTTTTTTTTTTTTTTAAATGGACTGATTTCATTTATTGAATTGGCCCACATGTTGCAATAGTGGTTAACCCATCTGCCTCACAGTTAAAAGATTGTGCGCTTTGAATCTGTGTTGCAACATCTGGATGGAGTTTGTCTAATTGTTCATATGCTCTGAAGATTCATCGTCCAGAGGTGTGAATGGCTGTTTGTCTCTGTGCCCTGCATTGACCCGTATTGTACATTATCTCAGTTGGCATGTACAATATTCTTCCACTGCTTTGTGACTCATGTTTCTTGTTAGCATCTGCCGTCTTGAGTAGTTTTGGAATGAAACAAAACAAAACAAAAAAAGAGGCGAAGATAAACTTCACTTCCAAACATTTTCGACCATTAATGTTAACTTTAATTTGCATCATCCATCACAATGGTCGCAGGGCATGCTGGAGCCTATCCCAGCCGTCTTCGGGCAGAAGGCGGGGTACACCCTGAACCGGTTGCCACCCAATCGCAGGGCACGCGGAGACGAAGAGCTATCCGTGCTCAGACTCACACCTAGGGACAATTTAGACTTAGTTTTCCATTAACCTGCCATGCATGTTTTTGGAATGTGGGAGGAAACCGGCATACCCGGAGAAAAGCCAAGCAGGCATGGGGAGAACATGCAAACTCCACACAGGAAGGCCGGAGCTGGAATCGAACTCTGCATCTCTGCAGGGTGAGGCCGACACGCTAACCAGTTGACCACTGGGCTGTAATTTGCATCACTTAAATTAAATTAAATATCTTTTCAAGGTAGGTGTGGATGCATGTTGAGCCATGAGTCTTAAAAACAAACAAAAAAAAAAAGAAGTACATTCAAGCCCCCACAAAGTACAAATGGATGATATTTTCCCTCGTCAAGGCAAGCACTTCATCAACTAGCTCCTGAATCACACATGTCAAATAGTCAAATATCTATCTATCTATCTAATATTCTAATATTATTAAATGTAATTTGTACAAATGTTATTTCAGACGTGTATCAATTTGGTAGCCCTTCACACAATCAGGACAAATGAAGTAGCTCTCACTCTCAAAAAGGTTTGTGACCCCTGAATATAGTATGTGGCGCAAGCAACAGTCTCATGACCAAATGCAACCAACCTACTGACAACTGTGTTAACAACTTCACCTAGCAATGAAATATGCGCTGCTTGTCAGAAGCTAACACTGTTAGCTAAGGCTAATCTATGTATCCAACCAAACTAAGTCCAGCCATGCTTGCCTCTTGACTTTTGATAGCGTAGCAGACAGTGTAATTCGACTGCGGCTTGAAAGTGGCAGATCATCATCCAACCTAGCCACCGAGTCATGGGCAGTGAATCCTGGTGTCGGCACCAACCTTAGAACGTGCTGCCA